AGTGGGAGACAGTGCTCCTCAGTGACGAGCAGCCCCTGAAGTGATACATAACGTTTGTACAGAGGAGCCGCGTCAGTGGAGGCCACCAGTAGCAGATGGGACCAGACGACCCGGAAATCAGGGTCAGGCCCACCAACTGCCAGCCAGCCAGCCTCAGCTCCCTTCACTCCTGAGGAAGCAGGAGGCAGCCCCCTCCCCGCACATCACCCCGCCTCCAAGTGTGGGGACAGAAACAAGAGCCAGGCCAGGTCACGCCCTCTGCACAAGTGTCCCCTCCCCTGGGGTCTGGCCTGTGCGACGGGCCAGGACCCAGAGCTGGTATGGACTGGACATCAGAGCTCCGAACTGCACACACCGAGTTGAGCAGCTGAAAGTAACCAGACAGCGATGAGATCTGTGTAAGAGGCCTGTAAGGGGTCAACAGCCAGCGGGAAAGGAAGAGCTCGCAGGGCATGGTTAAAAGTGGTGAGGAGAGAAGACGAAACGGTCCGCAGCTCAGCGGAGTCCCGACACAGCTTTTACATAAGGCAGATCCAGAAAGCTAACTGCGTAAATACCACAGAAGTCTCTGTAGGATTAGGGCCTTTAATCACGGAGTTCAAAACCTGTCAGATCAAACCAGCTCGTTTTACAGAGCTGGAAACTGAAGCTCCTCTTAAGTTTAAGATCTCCAAGACAAAGTGGCGTGTTAGGACGAGAATTCAGATCTCTCAATTCCCAGTTATACTCTCTTCTCCCCATGGGGCATTGCCTCCAGCAGAGCGCCTGGAGAGGGGTTAGGGTTAGGCTCCTGGGCAGGTTAGTGAAGGAGCGACAAGGCAGGAGGCCCGGCTAGGCAGACGAGCAGTAAGTAAGGCCTCGAAGTTAGCGCAGTCGGACAGCCCGCTGGCCTGAGTGCTGAGAGCAGCCTGAGACAGGTGCTGCGACACCCGGTGACCCGCCTGGGGGCCCACTGGCCGTCCCTGCGCGAAGCTACAGAGACAGAAAGACACCGCACCTTATCACGTTGTCTGACGTCAAGAGCACGACGTGGGGGTCCAGCAGCTCACTGGGGTACCAGGCGGCGTGCTTCAGCGTCAGAGACGGAGAGCTGGTGAGAAACCTCTCAGCAACGGGCGTGGTACTGAAACGAAGACGGTAGTTTGTCCAAAACTTCCTGCAGAATGTGGACCAAAGACCTTCTACAGGAAAACCTATCTTAACGCTCTGCTCTCATTCCCTTCCCCATCTTTCCTCCTCCCACATCTTGCCGAGAAGAGCACTCGAAGCCCCCATTCAGTCAGCATGCGTGAGGACCCACACGGAACCACCTTTTGAATCAGAGCTTCACACTGGCCCTCACGAGGGCCTCCACATACACTAACTGCTACGGTCACCTTACTGGCCTGGGAAGAGAACCAAACACGATGCTCCAACTGCAGAAACGGGGCAACGGATTTTTTCTTTTTTTTTTCGGAAACAGATTTTAGAAATGGAATGTTGCAAAACTAAAGGCGGTTTCTATCTTACGCTTGTCAACACATCTTTCAGCTCTGGCTTTTCCAGATTGTTGAAAAGATACAAAAATTAAACTTAGTTAAATTAAATGGACTTATATGCAGTAACTGCTTTTCAAAAGTTACCTTATTTCTACGCACACGAAGGAGCTGAACTCCGGTGAGCCGGCTGTGAGCCGTCAGGCAGAACGGCAGGCTCGTGGGCAGGCGAGGATCACATCAGCAGGAAGCCCGGGTGCGGCCCAGGTGGCGGCCTGTGCCGCTGGATCCACAGCACAGACAATGTAGCTTGCGAACCAAGGGGCCTGAGCCACTGCCCCGTGTGTTCCAAACCGACAAACGATAAACGGAAATACAACTTACCTGCAGTTCACTGTTGATTTTCCGCCTTCAAACTCAGAGTTCTTCCCCCATCTCTTAGGCAGCTCTAACACCGTAAGTCCTTTGGTTCCCACAAGCGCTATGTGATGCTGCGTTGGACTTAACAGGACTTGGTAGACTTCAAAGAGGGGTGGATTTATGCAGAGCAATCTCTGGAAAACAAAGCAAACTGGTCACAGTTCACGTCGCAGTAAGTACGCGGTAAGTCCTAGAAAGCACGACTGTCCCGGTGTAGTTTGGTCGGGCACCCGAGGCAGGCGCTGCTTTCCTCACTGCAGGGCAGTGACGCCTTCTGGGTAAGCGTTCACACCTGGGCTAGGAACTCACTGGAGATTTTTAACCGCTGAGATCAGGACGTAACATAAACCGCACCAGACTTCCCTCCCTTGAAAAACAAACACTACACATCAATTGCCTTTTTATGGCCGAACTCCAGCCTGCCCCGGACAGTCTCTATGCCCGCTCAGGTCAGCCTGTGTCCGCGAAGCCACCAGGCTCTGTCAGCCTCTGCGTCTCTCGACAGCTCTTCCTTTTCCTTCTGCGGCGGCTGTCATGGTCCGGGAGACCTCCTGACACATTACCCCGATCTTCTGGCCGGGGGTACACGCGTCTCCTCTGCACTCTGGATGACTCTGTCGCGGTCTTTGTCAGGCTGCACTGCGGTCATCCCGACCGTCCTGCACAGGTAACCGAATTCCTGACACTGTGTCCTTCCTTGCGTACCCTCGACACAATGTATGGCATAAAGTCGGCTCCAGGTATTTCAGTGCAGCAAGAAATGAACTCAGAGCATTCATAATTGGCGGCTGCTGTTCCGTATCAGGAACGGGACGGGGACAGAACAGCTTTCAGAGCTCGCGCAGCCGGACCCACACGGCGGAATCACAGAGCCACGCATTTTCGGGGGTTCTCAGAGCTGCTTGTCCCAGTGTGACCAGCCCTCACAACGCACTTCCTCAGAGCGGCATGTCCTGCTGCTTCTCTCCTGGCCACCCACACTCCCATCTTCTGTCCTTTCTACTTCCACTCATAAACCGGGAGACGCCAACGTATCACTCACCCTCCCGTAAGGAGACACCCTCAGCCAGGATCTTTCCACACACGACGGCTCTGCACACAGCACACAACGGGCGCTCTACCCCGTCTCCCTGCTGCGGCTGAGCGGCCCTTCGCCGAGTCCAGCCAAGGACGTGTGTCTCCCGCCGGTGGTCCTCGCTGACCCCACCGTCTTCTCGTCTGATCGGGTCCATCTCAAACTGAACAGAGGCCGCTGATCTTGGGCTATGTTTACCCTCTGAACACCTGAGATCACGCGTGACGATCACAAACTTAGGGGGTTTTGTTTTACTTTGTTTCTGAAGTCACTATTCTCCCTTCGTCAACATTTACATCTGCAACTCACGGTGAGCCGCTTTCCTGCCGGTGAGATTCTGGAAAGCTGAGAGCCACTCAGCCCTCAGTTTCCTGAGCGCCCCCCGCTCCAGGCAGCCTGCGAAGGACGGGGATGCAAAAGCAAGACCGACAGGCACGACCCCGCCTGGGTGGCTGCGGAGCAGAAAAGAGGGACAGCGAGCACCATGGACTTAATCAGGGCCGCTCTACACTCTGGCGAACAGAAATTTTACAGGAACAGACGGTCAACTTGGGACCGGTCTTCAGAACCGCAGAAACACCCCGGCACCTTGATAAAACCCGCGCATTTCTCCCCCGCAGGCACCGGGCAGGGGCCCACGACAGAAGGCACGAGTTAAGACAGGCGACACGTCTGCTATGTTTCCCAGTCTTTAAAAGACCCGCACCCGTGTACTGACCACCGTTCCCTCAGGCCAGCGCCGGGCCGCAGGAAGCCCTGCGCGCCGCTGCCCGCGTGCACGTGCCCGCGCTCACCCAGACCCCGCGCAGCTCCCGCCCGACCCTGCGCCGGCTCATCCTCTAGCGGGGGGATGAAGCAGGACCGGGGACCCCCTCCTCCACGTCGGCACGAAACCGCGAGCGGCCGCTTCCAGACCGACCCCGACTCGGCGCTCACAGCGACCGCGGCAGGAGGTCGGGTCTGTCTCCGCGACCTGGCGGGTGTCGCCCCACGAAAGCGGAGCCTCAAACCCAGCCCGCCACGCTCGCCTGCTGGGTTTCCCCTCGGAGCACCCGCACGCGGCTCCCCGGCCGCTGCCCCTGGCCCGGGCCCCCGAGAGCACGCGGGCGTCCGCAAGCCTCCGCCGGGGAACGGAGCCCGCCCACGACAGGCTACGAAGCTGCCGCGCCGAAGCGGAAGGGGGGGCGCGAGGAGAGACGGCGGCGCCGCGCCCCCGCCCAGCACGCGCGGCCCGGCCCACCTGGTACTGGGACAGGGACGGCTCCTCGCCCGCGCCGCCGCCCCGCAGGCGCACCACCAGGAACGAGCCGCCGTCGCCGTCCCACATGAAGAGCTCTCCGCCCAGTCCCACGACCAGGCTCCTCGTCAGCGGCGGCGCGGACGGCGACGGGCACGCCGGCTTCTCAGCCTCGCCGGGGCTCTGGCTCTTCAGCCCCTCGCGGAGCCGCAGGAACACGACGTGGTTGGGCAGCCAGGACTGCCACGGCTCCGCGTCGCCCGCGGGACCCTCCGCCGCTGCCATCTTAACCCGACTGCGCCCGTCGCCCCCGTGATGCCGCGCGCCGCTGAGCGCAGCCAATCCGCGGCCCGCCGGCGCGCTCCGGCCAATCAGCGAGCGGGCAGCCGGGGCACGCGGGCCTCGGGGGCGGGGCGAAGGGGAGGGCCGGCCGGCAGCTCTCCGGCCAATCACCGAGCTGGCAGCCCGGGCAAGCGGGCCCCGGGGGCGGGACGAAGGGGGGGCCGGCCGTCCGGCGGGGCCATCGCTGAGGGAAGGCCAGCCCCCGGGGACAGCCTGAGAGCGGCGTCTGACCGCTGCGTGGACGTCTCCGCCTGGCTAAGCCTGGACGTCCGAAGCCTTCCTCAAGATCCACTTCCCTCACTCCAGGTGGGGTTGACCTCACAGATGCCGCTGCGGCCCCGCCTCCTCGGGGTCGCCGGACGGGTCGGCACCTCCCAGAAGGCCCCGCGGGCGGGCGCGCGGAGCGCCCGGAAACTACAGCTCCCAGGATTCTGCGCGCCGGTGGGGGCGGGGCTTCCCGGCTGCGGCGCCCGCGGACGGGAGATGGCGGAAGCCCCGGGCTCGGGGCGCCGCTCGCGGTACAAAGCGGTGGGCTCGCCGCCGTGGAAGGAGGCTTTCCGGCAGGTGCGCGCGGGGCTTGGGAGGCCTCGGCGGGGCCGCCGTCCCTCCCCTCGTCGCCCCCCGTGCGAGGCAGGTGCGGGGCGCCGGGCGGCGGCGTCCCCGGGGCGGCACTGGACGGAGCGGGCCGGGCGCTGCGGGAGTTCCCGGGCCTGCGCGCGGGGCGGGGGGGGAAGCCGGCCCGGCCGCCGCGCGCCGCGAGGCCCCCGCGCGCCCCACCCTGCTGGCGTCGGGGGCTGGGGAGACCCGCTGTTCTCCCGCGGGCGCGGCCGTCTGCTGCGGACACGCCGGCCCGGCCGGTGCTGCGGAGTCTTGGCAGCCCCGCGCCGCCCCCGCGCCGCCCCGCACCGTTCCGGCGGCAGCGCGTTCCCGCGAGCCCGCCTCCCGGGAGCCGCCGCCGAAGCCGGGGCCCTGTGTCGAGGAGCGTGTAGCGGGTCCCGGGGCTCTGCCGCGCGGCTGGAGGGTCTCGGGCGCTGCCACTTGCCCGCGAGGGATGGTCGCCCCCGGCTGACCTCGTGCAGGAAGGTCCCGCTGGAGCGCAGCGGAGGCCGAGCCGTTACTACCCGACCACGAAGGACCCTGCCGCGAGGGTCCCACCCGGGGGGTCGCGGGGAGCCGACTCCGACTCCTCTTGGTTAGGCTTAGGTCACGATCTCGGGGTGCTGGGATCCGGTCCGCATCCGGCTCATGCTCGGCTCGGCCTCTGCTTGAGGGTCTTCCTCAGCCTCTCCCTCTCCTCATCGCCCAGCTCACACTCTCTTTCACGCGCTCGCTCTGAAATAAAGTAAAATCCGAGTGTGCTGAACTGAGTACATAAACCATGATGACTTCCCTTGTCTGCGAATAAGGATTGCGCAAAAATAATGCAAAAATAGTAATTAGGATTATGGTTGGAATTTTGTGTTTATAAGTTTCGGTTGATGTAACAGTTTAAGAAAAAAAAAACTTTTTTAGAGTTTCAGAGAGAGTGCATGTGTCTGGAGGGGAGGAAGGACAGAAGGAGAGGGAGAGGCAGATGCCCCACTGAGCAGGGAGCCCAGTGTAGGACTCGATCCCAGAACCCCAGGATCATGACCTGAACCAAAGGCAGACTTTTAACTGACTGAACCACCCAGACATCCCTAAGTTTGTTTGTTTTGTTTTGTTTTGTTTTTACCGGCTCCGCTCCCTGTTTCTCCTTCCAAGGGATGCCTGGAGAGAATGAGAAACAGCCGGGACAGGCTCCTGAACAGATACCGCCAGGCTGGAGGCAACATGCCAAGCAGAGCTCAGAACCCTCTTCTGGTGCAGGAGGTGATGGAAGAAGAGTGGAGTGCTCTGCGGGCCGGGGACAGCTGTCCAGAGGCCTTGACCCAGGTCAGAATGGGACATGTGCTTCCAGGGAGGGTGCTACAGCACCGAGAGGGCCTGCCCCGTGTCCCCAGGTCCTCTGGTCCCAGTCACCCTCCACCCTCCAGCCCCCAGTCAGGATTCCAGCTGCTTGGAACCTAGGCTCTTCTGTCTTTTAGGTTAGACTTTTCTAGATCCGTGGTTCCTAAACACCAACATTCTACGAACATTCTGTGTCATTGCATCTTACAAAACTAAAAACAAAGACGTCTGGGCTCCCCCGCTGGAAATTCTGACTTAGCAGACCTGCGCTAGCAATCTCCGTGCAAGAGGGCGTCCAGGAGCTTTCTGACTCTCGCCTCGGCCAGGGTCGCGGGCTGGGCGTGGATCGGAAACTGTTTACTGTGTGCAAGGAGGAGCCCTGGCTTGGACGTCCCTGGGTCTGGAATTCCAACCCTGGTTTGGCGCTGGGTCCTTACCTGTCCTGTGCCTCTGAGCTCTGCTTTCGCGGAGTCTCAGCCTGACCCGATGCAGAAGAGAGTGCGGTCCACACCGTGAGGTCGATGTGAGAAAACCTCGGCCAGCTGTTCCAGGAGCATCAGGGCCATCTGTAGTCACGATGCGTTATCGGGAGCCTACTGTGTGTCCTGGCACAGGCCAGACTTCTGGCTACACAGTCCTGCTTTGTGCTCACAAGAGCCCTTCAGGTCTGTGCCTGCTTCACAGAGGCCCGAAGTGAGGCGGGCGGGCTTAGGAAGGCCCCAGCTGCTCTGGAGCTTTGGCAGAACAAGTACTTAGCTGCTGCTCTCTAGCATCTCCCCCAAATGTGGGGCCCTTATCTTGTCACTGGGTGGTTTAATCATTTGTTGATGGCTTTCTAGCGGGATGCCATGGCCACATGAGCGGCACCTGCTACGGAAGGACTGGGTGGGGCTTCTCTGTGGCACCAGAGCTCTTCACACCAGCCTCCCGACCCGCGTCACCGGGACTTGCTGGCTGAGGGGACTCCGCTTTCTCTTGCAGTTGGAGGAGCTGCTGGATCTGGCTGTGCTCGAGGAGATCCAGCAGGAGCTAGCTGACCAAGGTGACCTCGGGCAGGGTCCCTCCACCTGCCTCTAGCGAGCCTGGCACTTAGCACTTTTCAAAGCAGAATGCCTTCCTGACTGTCCCCCTCCTCTATGCCCAGCTCTAGGCGGGTGTCAGAAATCCCTGCTTTGACCCTGAGGTCTTGGCTCTTCCCCAGAGTGAGTCTTTTGTGCCTGGGCCTGGTGCTCAGGCTCCGTGTCCCTTGTGATCGCCTTCTGCTGTGGTGTGAAAATGGACACAGGCCTCACGGGCACGGCTGGGTTCCAGCAGGATGTGATTTTTTTTTTTTTTTTAAAGATTTTATTTATTTATTTGACAGGCAGAAATCACAAGTAGGCAGAGAGGCAGGCAGAGAGAGAGGGGGAGAGCAGGCTCCCTGCTGAGCAGAGAGCCCGATGTGGGGCTCGATCCCAGGACCCTGAGATCATGACCAGAGCCAAAGGCAGAGGCTTAACCCACTGAGCCACCCAGGCGCCCCGCAGGATGTGATTTAGAAGACCGATGGCTGGTGCGCCCTGCGGGCTGGGGTTGGCTGGTGCAGCCGTGTGGATACCGCGTAGACCTGCAGCGCAGGGGCCCGTCTCTGGCACAGCTGCCCCTCCTTCCTCCTGCATCCTTGGCGTGGTTGTGTGCTCACCAGGCGAGCGAACACGGGTTGTGAACAGCACAGACTGGGCGTACGGTCGTCGGGGAACAGATCGCTTTAAACTCCGCTCTTAGTGCCCAGGCAGGGTCCGAGCTCTCCAGCGACCCCCCGAGCCCGATGCCTCTGGGGCCGCGTGTCTCGTGCTCATGCACACGCGGGACAGGCGAGAGGGGCGGGAGCCAGCAAGACGAAGCCGGGCAGAGCAGTGAACGTTTGTGCCGGGTGGCGGGGTCCTGCTGGGCTCCCTGTCTGGTGTGGGTGAGGCTGGGCTGCGGGACAGGCCTGGGGTGGGAGGCGGGAAGGGCGCTGCAGCTGGCCTTTGCCCCGCAGAACGGCGCCTCCTCAGCGAGTACGAGAAGAGCCTGCAGTTCGACGAGCACTGTCTCAGCGTCATGCTGGCCGAGTGGGAGGCGAACCCCCTCATCTGTCCCGTGTGCATGAGGTAAGAGATTCCAAACCCCTTTTAGCATTACGGGTGGACGATGTGTCCCCTGCAGGCTGGCTGTCTGCAAGGGTCTGGGGTTCTTGTGGTGCCGGCCCCGGCGCGCTGTGATGCCAGCTCTGCTTCCAGGTCCAACCTGAGAGTGTCAGGCGGTGTGGTCACGTGTCCGTGTGGCCTCTCCCTCTCCTCGCACGTGAGTGTTCGACACGCGCATCCCGTGTCCCTCCTTCCCACATGTGTCTGCTTGCTGGAGGCCCTTTGCTGGTGCCGGAGCCGATGGGGTGCGTTTGCTCCTGGCACCCTAGCCAGCTCATGCAGGTGTCTGGGAAGCGGCCACAGAGCCCACAGGGCCCACAGGGCCCACGGAGCTGGCCCGGGGATGGGCACACACTGTGGCTGTCCCAGCCGTTTGGTCCCTGCTGGTGAGCGCCCTGTGCTCAAGACCTTTACAGGGAGAACTGGAAACACTTGTATCTGCCTTCGTGTGAAGTTCCCACGTAGGAAGACTCAACTGGACTCGAACATAGGCCTCGGTGGTCCCGAAACACAAAGGCACCCTCTTACTGGGCGTGATGGGGCTGAAAGTTTGCAGCGGGGAATGGGGACAACGAGCATCTCGCGGTCCGCTTCAGACACACCCGTACTGGCCAGGCCCCAGGCAGGGCTCTGCCAATGGGAGCAGAGTTGTGCCCATCTGGTCCCGAGGGGGCAGGTCTGCCCTCCCAGTTCTGCTTCTGTAAAGTGCGCCGCGGAGCGGTGTGGACTTGAGTTTGTCCTCTCCATCGTTGACGTGACTCAGCAGCTTTTTCTGTTTTTTAAACAAGCCCTCTTTTTGAGCGTTTGCTAAACATTCCATTCCTTACCTTTGAAAAAAAAGAAAAGAAAGCGTTGTTTTCATTCTCGTGGCTGGGTTCCAACGCATATGATGGCGTGATTAACACAGCGTGACGGGCTTGGGCCCCGTGGTGCTGGCTCCTGGGAAGGACATGGCAGCCGTGGCGGGGCAAGGGACCGGGGAGGTGGCAGCCCCATGCCCTCTTGGTGCTGCTCACGCAGGAGTGGGGGACGGTAGTCACCCAGAGGGGTGCTGCGGTCACGGAGTTTAGCGCAGCCAGGAGTGTCGGCGTTGGAAGGCTGTGCAGAGCCATCCCAGTGGGCGGCTGGAGGAGTCGGGATTTCCAGGCTGTCGGCTCAGAGGCGAGTGGGGTCAGGTTGCAGCTTAACTGGCTTATTTGCTAGTCTCCAGGGTTGACGGAGCAAAAGCTTCGAGCCTGCTTAGAGGACTGCGTGAATGAGCACGGTGCACGCTGTCCGCACACACCTGAGTTCTCGGTCACGGATGGGACGGAAGAAAAGCCCAGTCTTCTCATGAGCTGTGTGGTAAGCCTCCCATGGGACCCCGTGGCAGAACCGGCCATGGTTGGCGTTGTTCCCACCCCAGCAGATATCATACAAGCGGGTAGATGTTTCTTCTTCTTCTTTTTTCGTTATGGCATTCTTTTGAGGCGGGGAGACGTTTACGAGAGCAGTTTAGTCTCTGAGGAATTTACTGGCATGGGAGAGTGGAGGCAACGTGTCACTTACACTAGGAGGTCCATGGTCACCCCAAGGGCAGGGACAGAAGGGGAGGCCCGGCTGACGGGCAGTGGCGCACTCAGGCCTGGCCGATGGTTCCGTGCTCAGGACACCCAGAGAGGCCGTGCCGTGCGGGCTTGCTGGAAGAAAACAGGATGGCGTCAGGTCGCCGAGGGAGGGAGGGCCTACAGCTACCAGACGGCTGGACGGTGGGGCAGGAAGCAGTGGGATTGCCTGCGTGCTGTGGGCCCCGTGATGTCATCATGAGGTGGGTGTGGGCCTAGCTACTGGGGACAGCAGGCAGACTCTGACCGGAGTGGGTGTTGGGACCCCTGCCGTTCCCTGCTCAGTGGGGGCCTCGGTGGGGCCCTGCCGGCCTCTGGGTGGGGGGCAGGGAGCACAGCGGGTGGAGTTTAGGAACAGGTGGCCACTCCCTTTACTCCAGACGCACCCCCGGAGCCTCGAATACGCAGGGTCTCCGGCCCACACGCTCTAGGTCCCGCGGCTCTGGGTCTGAAAGACCTTTGGCTCCGGGATGATTTGCAGACGTGTTTAGTGAGCCCGGCTGGGCACCACATCCTGGAGGCCTGACTCCTGCTCTCCCTGGGCTTGAGGCTGTGTCCCCGCAACACTATCACAGGGACCCGCCTGTGCACTTGTCCTATGTGGCAAGATCACACACAGGTGTGTCCTCCCAGCCCCCGGCCCAGAGGCAAGCCCCTCGTGTGCGTGCAGATGGGGGTTCAGGTGGGGAGTGGGGACAGCGGAAAGCACAGGTCTGGGGGCAAAGGATCCTTACGGACCCCAGCCCAATCCCAGGGTCCCCTCCCTGGATGGCCTGGGCCCCGCAGCTCTGAGCAGTGGGATTAGTAGCGCCGGGAGGGACGACAGGGAGTCACAGCAAAGATGAGACAGGAGTGAGGGAGGGGCAGAGGCATCCATCAGTGTCTGAGGTCACTAGGCCTCTGGTTTCACTTCCGGGGACTCGGGTTCAGAGTGGATGTGGAGGAGCGGGTGCAGGTTACCGTGAGGACGTGGCCAGGTGAGGTGTGGTCACAGGACGGAGTGCGCCAGAGCTGGGATGTCAGCCGTGCGGGCGGGCGGCCTCCTCTGTGTGGTGGTGGGGATCGAGGGAGACCACTTTGTGCTCCGACGAGCCCCGACTGTGGGGGAGACCCCGGAAGGCGTGCTGGCACGTGCGGGCGGTAGGCTCAGGTTCTGCCTGCAGCAGGCATGCCCATCCATCCCAGGTTCAGGCGACAGAGCCTCACCTCCCTGCGAGGCCGTGAGAAGCCACTGGTGACCTGCGGGGGAGGCTGTTCGGAGTCCGTGTCTGGGACCTGCTTCGAGCTTCCGGCACACGTACCACTGTCCTGGGACTAGAGGGTCGGGTCCCACGTGCAGACACCCCACCAAGGCCACCTTGTGATGGCATCTGAATGCCACCCCGTCGTCCCTGCTGATGAGACCTGGACAGCATGGAGATGGTGTGTGTGACCGGGACTCTCTTCTGTCCAAATCCAGGCTTGCGACACATGGGCCGTGATTCTCTAGCGCCGACCTCCACTCCCCGCTCTTCTGGGGCACACGACTCGCTCCGCCTGGGACAGGGCCTTGTAAATACCAGTGTTTAACTTCTACCGGATTTTGTACTAAAACTCTGAAACCTCTGTGCTGTCGGTGTGTTGGGACACAGGCTAGAGGGGAAGAACAGCAAAGACAACGGAGGAAACCGATTTTATTGTCCGTCACATTAGACAATCTCGGAGCAGGAGGGTTGTAGAGACGCAATAAACGAGGGCAAATGAGACTGCAACGGAAGTCATTTAAATTTGAATCACGCTCCATGATAGCAAGAAGGAAACCATCTCCGAGCCCCCGTCCGTCTGGCTCCCCCAGGCTTGCGCCCCGGCAAAGCCCGGCGCCTGCTCTACTGGGTCTTGACAAAGCCCTGGAGGTCCTCGAGGAAGGTGATGTACTCCCGGTGCTCCAGGGCCGTGCTGAGCTCCACCAGCTCGTCCGCAAACGTGTTGTCCACCCCTCGGTCGGCCAGGAAATCCATCAGGTGGTCGTACAAGGCCTGTGAGGACAGACGGACCTTCTTGGTCCCAGGCCGCTCCCCTGCCAGGCGCCGGGCCTCCCCACCGTGCCACACCCCTGCCCGCACTCACCCAGTCTAAGGAGTCGGTGTTGAGTGTGTAATTTGTGTCCTTCCACTCTGACTCACCGACGGCCTGAAAGCTCACCTCCCTGATGGAAAAGATGTCACTCTCCTCCTCCTCCTCTTGCCCAACCTGGGAAGAGATGGGGTTGGGGAAAGTGAAGGCTTTCCCAGGACAAACCGACCACTTACCGCTGCCAACTCCCCCGGTTTCACCCCTGCCCGCCCCCCCCAGCTTTCCTGGTCTTTGCCGGACAAGCCGGCGCCCTTCCTCCCCCACCCTGCGCCCCATCCCACACACCTCATCTTCCGGATAATGACAGTCCAGCACCAGAGCCTTCTTGCCGCCGTCCTTGATGACTTCCACCACGAAATTGGGTGTGGATGTCAGCTCAGGCTGGGGAGACGAGAGCGCATCAGTCCGTTGCCTGAACCGGGGGGCTCATGGTTCCGGGGATCTGACGACCACCGTTAGGACAGTCCTTAGCCGCTTCTAAACCCCTCCATGATCCTGCCCCTTGACAAGGAGCCTAGAACCTTCCACAGCACTCAAGCCATGTACCGGCCTGTTCCGGAGACTGGGCTACACTTTCTCATGGTCCCTCCCCGAGTTCTGAACCCGGTTTTAGAGAGCGGAGGCTCACACGTCTACAGGGTCTCACAGCCGTTAGCCCCCTGATTGCTTACAGAACGTCCCCAGTTTAAAGTGCAGAAATTGGAGCCGGGGTCCAGCTCCGTGAATTGGTCTGCTCTTCCCCAGGCCTGTTAGTCCACCCGTGCACCGCGAAGCTGGCCTCGACCTCCCAGATGTCACTCCCGCTGCCCATTTCGGGCTCTTCCTCTGTCCCAGGGCAGGCCCCAGGCCAGCACATTGGGCTAAGTGGCCGTCCTAAAGCTGAGCAATCCCAGCGGCCCTCCCAGTGGTGGTGAGCCATCCCGTGTCAGGGAGGTCACGGTCGGGGTGGCGGAGCCAGGAGTGCCGAGGGGTATCCTCTCTCTGCTCGGCCCAGAGATGGTCCCGGTACCTGCTTAGTCAGGAGGTCCAGAGACCCTGCGGCCCCCACGCTGGCTGGTCCCTAGACCAGGCCCACAGCCCCCCACAACGTGTGCAGACCGGGCTCCCTCTGGGTCCATGCAGGAGGGCCTGTGGCCAGAGCAAACACCTTGTCCGCCTTTCGGATGTCAGTCTGATGCCCCAGCTCCCAAAGTGGTGTTACAGCCAGCCTGACACGCTAGAACATTCCTCCCTGGCAAACAGCCAGCCTGACACACTAGAACATTCCTCCCTGGCAAACACTCAGGATGAGCCTCCCGATCGTGGGAAGGCACAAGTGGGTTCAACTCCTCCCCACCGAGCGAACACAGGCGCTAGCACAGAGCCCACACCTGCAGGGCCCACGGTTCTGGTGCCGGAGCCCGAAACCGCGGCTCAGGGAGTCAAGGCCCAAGGGCAGCCATGGCCCTGCCTGTCCCCAGCGGCAAGAGGAGCGAGGGAGACCAAGGCCCTCCCCGGGTGCAGTCTGCTCACCTCCTGTTCTTCCGCCTTCTGCCCCTGGGACGGCTCCTCCTCACCGTCAAACGTGGGTGGGATGCTGTTGTTGGTGTTGAAGGTGACGGTGACCCTGCAAAAGCAGAGAATGGCCCAGCGGGGCCCTGCAGCTGAGCAAACTAGCAGTGAGCGTGGCTACAGTTACAAGGGCGACCAAAACTATGTGTCTGAACCACAACAATGTGTCCGAACCGTGAGCGGCAAATCCTGCAGCCACAGCATGCTCCGCGTCAGCTGCTGGAAGTCAACAGGCCCCACTTCATCTTTCCAAATGCAGTCCTGGTGGGGGAGGGTGGGCTCCCGTGGCTGTAGCCAGCGCCCACCCTATCTTGGGGGTAGGGGCCCTCCGCGGGCGTTGAGCGGCCCAGAAAGCGGTGGGACCCAACAGAAGCTTCCTTTAACACCTTTCCTCCCTGCGAAAATCTGCCCATGGCGGGAGGGGGAGAGAGGCACCCAAGGGCTGCCCTCAGCAGAGGACCCAGAGGGGCCGCAGGGAGGAGGGGGGCTCCCCGACACTATGCTGCCCTACAGAGCCGCTCTTCTTTTTTTTTTTTTTTTTTAATTAAAAAGCTTATCCATTTGCGAGAGAGAGAGCACAAACAGGGGAAGTGGCAGGCAGGCAGAGGGGAAGCAGGCTCCCCGCTGAGCAGAGAGCCCGATGCGGGGCTCCATCCCAGGACCCCGAGATCATGACCTGAGCCAAAGGCAGACGCTGCACCTACTGAGCCCCCAAATTCATTCTTCAAAAACAGAGGTGGGAAGTTTTATAACCACGAAGCAGGGCGGAAACAGTCAACTCCTGACAGTTCAGCTCCAAGAATCCTCTGCCGCCCAACCCTGCTCCGGAGCCGGGAGGGCAGCAGCAGGGAGGGGACGTGCTGCACCAGCTCGCTCGGGGTCCCCACGCACTGCCTTACCAGGAAGGTGCTGTCCCGCCCCGCGATGCTAGAAGTCACGGTCACACTGTCTCCTCTGCCCTTGTGCTGACCAAGCCAAAATCCTGGGCGCACAGGTGCAGTTCTAGTCACGGGAACACGATCCACGGTGACCCCAAACTGGCTGTGACTCACCCCAGGACGAGGGCTCAGGATGTTACAGGATGTGTGTGTGGGTGGGGACTGACACACACCAAGGGCAGAGAAAAGCAGAACCCTCCTTTACAGCAGGTACAGTTTACTCAAAGAGCGGACAATGAGCAGTGGAACGAGGTGGGAAGTTCCCCACCTTTCTTCCGGGTACACTCACGGCCCTGTGTCCTCATCTGCTCACACGGGAGGCCCATGGCTTGTGTGTTCCCTGCTATAAACATGGTTTCCCACCCCAGTGCGAGAGTCTGCACCGCAAACCTGAGGCCAATCTGCTTCGGTCAGTACTGTACAAATTTCTGAATCTGGGGCAATCAGGTGGCTCCGTCGACTAAGCGTCTGCCTTCGGCTCAGGTCATGATCTCAGGATCCTGAGATCAAGCCAGGCATGGGGTGGGGGGGTGGTCTCTGTTCAGTGGGGAGTCTGCCCCTCCCTCTGCTGGCTGCCCCCGGCCCAGCCCCGCTTGTGCTCTAATACGTCTTTAGAAGAGTAAGAAGAGTCTGAGTCTGTGTGTCTGCGTTCAAGCACAGCCTGACCAGGGCGACAGCCTCTACAGTCCAAGAGACCTCCAGCGACATCCTTTCCTGCCTTACCGAGTAAGCCAGCTCCTGGCACATCTGTGTGCAGCGAATGACCAACCTGGACATTGAGCGTCCAAGGACCTGCTCTACTAAAGGCAGTCCTGGGAGAAGGCAGGGCAGTCCCCGCAAGTTCAGGGAGTCGGTCCCCGCGGCCTGCAGGCTCCCCGCACTTACTTTTCCCCGGCAACTCTCCGCACGAGCTTGGCTTCCGTCCCGTTCACTTCCAGCTCCCAGCCTCCCGACATCTTTGGGAGGGACTTGTGCTTCTGGATCTTCCTTTCCTCCTTAATCTCATCACTCAGGAACTCCACAAAAGCCTTATCTCCTACAGTGAAAGTCCGAAAGGAACAGAGAGAAGAACCTGTTCAAATCCTAAAAAGGAAGGGGGGGGGGCGGTGACTGCAGCCAGAAATCTGGCCTCGGGGCTGTTCCTGGTAACTCCCGCTGGTGAGGGGACTCCGGCACTCGGGAACGGGCCGAGTCCCACCCGCTAGGCCTCAGGACGCGGACCGGTGGCCGTGCTAGGTGCCCGCGGCACCAGGCCGAGCCCAGTTCTGGAAAAAGAACTCCGACAGGGAAGTTCCACCGCCACGCTCCACCGCGAAGCCAGAAGCTCCCAGTTACACACAGACATGACCTCCGGCCCTCGACCCCGACCGCCGGCCCCCCCCGGAATCCCCTTCGCAGGCGGGGGGCGAAGCCGGCCGCCAGGGCGTGGAAGCGGCACTGCCCGAAGCGCCGACCTGCAGGGGGAAGGCGGGAAATGTCACCCGCGCGGCCGCGGCCCGGCGTGGTCCACGGCGGGGCAGGCTCCCGACCCCGCCCCGGCCCCGGCTCCGCCCCGGCCCCCGAACCCCGACCCCGGTCCGAGCCTCACCCTGCGTGTGCAGCGCGCCGCAGCCGCAGCCGCAGGGCCCGCGGGAGCGTAGGAGGCCGGCGCGCACTCGGAGCGACCCGAAGGGCCGCACGCACGGCTGGGGCGCGGGCTGCAGCAGCGGCCGAGGCGGCGGGGCGGGCGCGGCGCGGAGGACGGCGGCCGCGGAGCAGAGCGCGCGGGGCACTCGGCGCAGCAGAGGGAGCATCGCGGCGGCGGACACGTGCGGGTGCAAAGGACGAACCCAGGGCCTAGATCCGGG